GGAACTGAGGGGGGGACACGGGAGGGAGAGGTGGAGGGGGGTCATCCACACCCCATTCCTCAGTTCCCCAAGGTTGGCACTCCCTTTTTTCCAGGGATTTGCGCCCAAAAGTGTGGGGGGGTGGAATTGGGTCGGTTCAGCTCGGTTCGGGTGGAATTGGGTCGGTTCAGCTCGGTTCGGGCAGTGCGGTTTGGCCCAGTTAGCCTCGGCCGGGACCCACTCAGATCAGGTCGGCGTGGCTCAGCCCGGCACAGCTCAGTCCGGCCCCATTCGTACAATCACAGAACGGTTTGGATTGAAAGGGACCTTAAAGATCATCCATCCCCCCTGCCCTGGGCAGGGACACCTCCCACCAGCCCAGGTTGCTCCAAGCCCCGTCCAAGCTGGCCTTGAACACCTCCAGGGATGGGACAGCCACAGCTTCTCTGGGCAACCTGGGCCAGTGCCTCACCACCTTCACAGTCACGAATTTCTTCCTAATATCTCATCTAAATCTCCCCTCCTCCAGTTTGAAGCCATTCCCCCTTGTCCTATCACTACATGGCCTTGTATAAAGTCCTTCCCCAGCTCTGCTGGAGCCCCTTTAAGTACTGGAATGCCACAATAAGGTCTCCCTGGAGCCTTCTTTTCTCCAGGCTGAACACCCCCAACTCTCTCAGCCTGTCCTCATAGGAGAGGTGCTCCAGCCCTCTGATCATCTTCGTGGCCTCCTCTAGACCCGCTCCAACAGGTCCGCGTCCCTCTTGTGCTGAAGACTCCAAGGCTGGATTCAGTACTCCTGGTGGGGTCTCACAAGAGCAGAACAGAGGGGGAGAATCCCCTCCCTCACCCTGCTGGCCAGCCCAGCTCAGTTCAAACCACATTGGCACCGCTTGGTTTGGATGTCTCATCGGTGTCCGGCACCGGCACTGACTGTCCCAGTCCCTGTCTCTGGCCATGCCCAGGGAACTTTGTGCAGGCAACACGAAGGAGAAAGGCAGAGGAAACCCAGAAACCTCTCTGTTGCACTGGTTAGTTTTGCGGGGAAGGTGGTGTGATGAGGCAAATGGTCAGAGACCCCCGGTTACCCGGCCCTGCCGCTGTCAGTGTGCACACAGGAATCAAAAAAACCAAACTACTGTGTATGGGGGAAGTGGAACGAAGCCAGCAAAGTTCTCTCCCAACAGGAATGCTACTCAGTGCATGCAAATGAGAGGCTTTGTAAAATTGCTCCCAACGATGGCAAAAGGCCTTTTCTGCTTGTTTGCTTAAGATGCCTGGAGCAACTTCAGTGTGCTGAAGTGCAGATTCACATGCAGAGAATGGAGATGTCCTCAAATTATCATCGCCATCACTAAAGAATCCACAGACTAAAAATACAAAGAGTTTTTAATCTCCAAAACAAACCTATGGTAATTACCCTTTATCTGACAGCACCTCACCCTTCCTTAGTGAGGGGTCTGTGAAGGGTAAGTGGAGGTGGATGGCTCTGGTTTATTAAAAGGGCCAGAAAAATTGTAGAATACATAAATTCAAAAATAGTTTACACCACTGTCTTGGAAGACGCAGGTTGCTGAAAGTCTTGGCAGAGGCAGGGTGGTAGTTCCTGCAGCTGCAGGTCTCCAGGCGTTTCACTCAGGAGGGGAACATCAGCCCTGCTTTCCAGGGAGGAGCCACGAAGCCCAGAGAGGCCAAACGGCTGCCCAAGGTTATCCAGCAGGACTCAGCTTAGGCTGCGTGCTTCCTAGATCAGCTGAAAAGAAATCCTCTTGTGCTGGATCTCAGCCTCTCTCGTCCTTGGCTGCCCATATCCCCTGAAGGGTGACCGATTCCACTTTGGCCCCCAGACAGGGGTCCTGGGCAGCCCTTTAGGAGGTGGCACTCATGAAGACCGCTTGTTCCAACATGTTCTTCTTCCTATTGCAGTCCTGCATGCTTTAAACCATTTTTGGGGAGCTCCCAGAAAGACTTGTTTTACTCGTGGAGATGTGTCTGCGTGCACGGTGCCTTTCCCAGAGGACCAGGTCAGGCTGTGTATCCACAGGGCACCTCTCAGAGCTGAGCTCCAGCCAAGCCTTGCTCAGGGATAAGCTCCCACATCCCTCTGTGTCTTCTGCTGATACTTGGATGGACCACATCGGGCATTAGCCCTGTGTTAATGCTTTTGCTCCTCTTGAGCAGGACTCGTCCCTTCCCCGGGGCTTAGAAGACAAACCCAGCAGCACTAAAACTGCATGCAATGGAGGAAACACCTTCATGGCAGACCCAGCGCTTGGCCTCAACCCTCAGTCCTGGAATCGCTGGCCGGGATTGCGCCTGCCTGAAAGAGGAGATGGTGGAGGCGCAAAGGCCAGGTGCCTGCTAGGAAATCACCCCAGTTGACCAGGCTGGGCAGATCCAGGCTCAGATATAGGCTCCCTCCCTCCTCCACAGCAGAGTGAAGTGCCTGGGGTTGAGGTAGAATTTCACCCTGGAGCCTTTGAGAAACCAAAGCTCAGGTTACGAGGTTTCCCCACAGCCTTCTGGTCCTGGTGTTGAGCAAGGAGCAGGGCCGCCCCAGGGCTCGTCCGCAGCACCCTTTGTGTCCCTGAGAGCAGGGATGCGGTGGTGACCCTGGGTAGATGGATGTGGCCTTGTGAAAGTGGGCTGTGAGGCTGCGCTCACGCTGGAGAAGCTGACGAATTCAAAGAAGTGTGCCCGTCGCTTTAATATTGAATTAATACTACACTACACATAAAGAGCCCAGGAATCACCACGATTGTTCCCACAGTTCTCCCCTTGCTGCTGGCCTCTGTGCAGCACTGAAAGCCCCCATTGATCCAGTCTGCATCTTCCCTGGTCCTCAGAGAAACCCAGAGAGATCCACTCCGGTCATGGGACCAGGGAGTCCTCTCAGTTCCTCCCAGCTCCAGGGGCCAGGCGCTGCCTCAGCTCTGGAGCCTCCCCTGAAGCCAGGAGTCCTCAAGGATGCGATTCAGTTCCCACCACCACTGACTGGAGTCCTTCTAGAATCTACGGGTAGCTGAAGGTGTTGTGCTGAAGGAGGAAAGACAGCCTGCTCCATTCTTTTTATTCCCAAACCCAAGTCTCACACACCCCCCCGCAGTCATTCCTGACCAACTCCCCTGCTGCCAGGCTGGTAGCGACCGTCTACAGCCGCACGATCCAGGGATGGATTTCGCCCCGTGCTGAGCCTGGCAATAAAAGCACTGAGCCCAGATCCGAGACAACAGCAAACACCACTGAAATTCAGAAGCTCTCTGGCTGCTGTTAGCACAACCTCTCCCATGCCAGAGCAGCTGGTTTAGTCCCACGTCTGAGGCTCCCCAGTGCTGTCACTAGTGGGTCAGGTCCAGTTTGGAGAGTGTTGTCCTGTTAACCGCACAGAACCTTCAGCCAGACATGGAGTTCAGGTCCAAACGAAGCACCAGGCTGGGGTCTGCACCACCGAGACGCTCTGCTCCAGAGACCTGTGTGAGAGTGACACCAAAGCCCATGCAGGGCAAGTAAGGGGCTGCAGGACCACGGAAGGACAGCAGCAAATGCCCCAGCCCCTTCCAAATGCCCTGGGGAATGCAGTGCTGGGGAAACGTCCTCGCCTGGGATCCCACAACAGACAGGACAAACCACCCCTTGTGCTTATGGGCCCCAGACTGCAATGCCTCGTTCCTGGTGTGGAGGAGGCCCCCGGAGGGAGGTGTCCCCGAGTCGCTTTATTTGCGCCAGAGAAGGGACAAATGTTAGTTGCATGTGTCCGCCCACCTGGCTATCCTGATCCACGGCCTGTACAGTCATCATCAGAGCCACTGCTTTGGTCCTGGCACTCTCTGCCTGACGGAAAAGGATGGGACATATTACATCCTCCCACATCCCCCTGCACTGGTGCTGGACCCCTCCGATAGCCAGTCCCGGCTGTCCCCCAGGCACCACACTGGGAGTGCAGTTGTGTGCCTGGTGCTTTGGCCAGACGTGCTTACGCTCGCTCGGAGAGAGAAACTGAGCTTTGCTCTGCTCCTCTGGAGAGGATGTCCCCAGAGAACTACGGGGACAGGCAGCCTTCGGGACCAACGTGCAAAGTCTGCTGGCTCCCCGTGCGGGACGTGGCAGGATCAGGCGAGACGCTGCCCTGTTCAGCTGAGAGGGCCTCAGCCAAGGGCATCTCGCTGCCAGGCTTGCTGGGACCAACCTCCACCCCTGCAGTGCCAGCTGGCATGAGGCAGGCTTGCCCTTTCTCTTGGCCTTCGCCCAGCTTATGAGCGCTGTGACAGTCTCAGGCCAGGACTATTTGGCTGTTTAACGCTCCGCTGCATTATCTTTCTGCCGCGGGCAGCAGGACTCCTCCCCTGGCTTTCACAACACACTTTCACAGCAAACGTTGACAGTGCAGGGACAATGCCAAGGGAAAAAACAGTGGGATAGATGGGGGGATGGCAGGGATGAGGGGGTTCTCTGGTCCCCAGACAGGGAGCAGTGTCTCCACCAAAGGCCCAGGGCATGGAGTAGAGAGAGCATGGCAGTCCTGATGTTTGGAGACTTGGTGACCCTTCCAGCTCTGAAGATGAGTGTTTGGAAGAAGGGCAAGGAGATCTGCTCATCTCAGCACTTCCAAATTTCCCAGAGCTGCTGCTTCCCCTCCTTTTCCGCGTTTTCAGGGGATCAGTTGCTAAGTACCCTGAAATGCTGGGGTTTGCTGGTTTCTGCTCGAGCACAAGGAAATGCTTCTGAAGGGCTGAACAACAGATGGGATGTTTTTTTCTGGCAGCTAAAAGGCAGTTAAGTAACCCCCTAGAATTTGATAATGTCACTAGAATACATTAAGAATATAATCTTGGTAGCAACCCAAGGATAGCGATGTTTGCTTTCATGCCACACTCTGTGAATGATTACTTCTGACACCACTCCCAGCAAATCTGTTTGCAGCACCAGCCAGCCCAGAGCCACAAGCACGCTGAGCCGCACCGTGACCACAAGCAGCACTGGGAAGTGGAAGCACAGAGGAACCAGGCAGTTTGCAGAGCCCAGGCAGGGGACCCAGGTGTCCCGGTACCTGTGCATTGCACTGACCTGCCTCGCGCTGGCACAAGGAAGAGACGTGTAATTACAACTCTAAAGTTTGAGACCTGATGCTTTTCCCATCTCTGCCACTGACCCGCCACATGACCTTGGGCAACTCGCTTTGGTAGCTGTTTTCTGCTTCCTCACCACCATACCAGGAATGACCAATGTCCCTCCATTTTGAGGGTTCAGGGCTGCAGCAGCACCTGCTCTGCACAGGAGAGCCCAGGACGGTGGTAGGGCCAAAGTCCAAGTGGCATCTCAGAGCCTACGCTGCCAAACGCACTCGGCTTATCACTGGGCAGGTGACTGCTGACGGGGACATCTGCAGGGACAGCCCCTGCCAGGGAGAGCAGGATATGAGAACACAAAGGAGGAAATGAAGCTGTGGAGGTGCAAGCAGCTCCCTGCCCTATCTGCAGGACCTTCCAAGGAATTACCAGGAGGGAGTCTTACAAAGAGAATTAACTCAGCCTTTCCCACACAGAGGCAGCAGCGAGGCCTCCCCCTGCCAGAGGAAAGGAATGAGCAAGCACTGGTCTGGCAGGTGTTGAAAAGCCCAAGCCCAGCCAAGCTCTGGGGACTCCATCAGCATCAATGGCAGGACCTTGGTGGAGCAGCACCAGCGATGACAGCTGGACTGGCGTTAATCTGCTCATCTTTGAAGGCAGTGCCAGATTCTGAAATTGCTATTTCCCAGAATATGAACTGTGTACTCAAATGTAGCCAGCCATGGGAACCCAGCCCCCTTTCTCCAAGCCATTGGACTCTCGGAGTGGCAAGTGTCTAATGCGATGAGGAAAGCAAGGGTGCTCAGAGGCATGCCACGATCCCCCACCCTGGTGTAGGTGCAGCCAAGCAAAGCTGCTTTAGGGAGGAAGATGTCTCACCTTCAGCTCTAGAAGAGGACATGGAGTCCATCTGGGCTGGGAAATCAGAAAACTTGACTGGACACCCATGATCTTTTCCAGCTTGCAGCAAAGACCCTGTGCCATCCCCAGCAGGCCGGTGGGGGCAGTGACCAGGGGAACTTTGGGCTCAGGAGCTGCCCCAGGACGTGGCCAGGTACCATAGCTCCTGCTGAGGAACGGCCCTCGTCTGGCCCAGGTGCTGTAATGTCTTGCGAGAGGCTTTGTGGTGGGGAGGCTGTCAAATACACGGAATCCTTCTTTTATGGCGAACTCCCAAGCCAGGTCGGCCACAAACTCTGCATCCTCTGGGCTGCTTTCACCTGGAGCTGGCCTCCCTGGGGACAAGAGAAGAATAGGACACCTTTGTTTGAAAAAGCTCATGTTATATAGTCACATCCCACACAGCACCATGTGCCCTTGTCTGGGCCAGCCCAGCAGGACTCGGAGAGACTCCTCTCTACAAAATACAAAAATAACATCTTGTTTTTCTCTGATAAAGACTCCCAGGGCAGACCTGATGATAAACAGCACCGAGAGTTCACACCCTCCCTGCTTTCGAGTCTCTCTTCGAAGGTGGTGCTTAGTCTGAAGGTCTGATAGCTCCACCTGTAGGACACAGCTCTGAGCTCTGAACTCTGGCCTCTGCTCGCTTCTCCCATGAAAGAAAAGTGATCACAGAGCAACCTCCGATCAGCACAAACAGCAAAGAGGAACAGACCAGACCTTGCATCCAGCAAAAAGCAGCTGCTGGGGAAATGCCCTTTTAGCCCTTTTTTTTTTGTTTGCAGGACACATCCTGACTACACAACACAGCCTGCCTGAGGAGCTATAGCAGCCTCACACCCTCCAGAGCCTGTGCTGGAGCAGGGAGGGAGCTCTGTGCTTTACAGGACACTCTATTCGCATCCCTCTTGTCTACATGCAGCAGTAACTTGCTGCACAATTATTCCCACGTCGCCCATCTCCAAACAGAGAGGTGAAACAAGATCTCTCATTTTGAGCCCTTATTTCCCATAGGAACTCTCTGCTGACAGCACAAGACTGCCAGAAATGCCACGTTTTGCTTTACTGCCTGGAATTTCGGAGCTCTCAGGGTGCACAGCCAGGAGTGCCTGAACCCTGCAGCACATGCTGCTGGTCTGACCTCCCCCAGTTCAGTGTGAGAACTCTCCCCGCATTGATGCTCGTGTGTCTGTGCTCTGGCTGGAGACTTGTGCAGAGTAGGGCCGGCATGTTTGCGTTCCTCACCTGCCAGAGAGCGTTTGTAGAGTCCCTGCAGCATTGCAGCCAGTCGGAAATAGGCAAAGGCCATGTAGAAGTTCCAGTTCTCGGGGTGCTCTACTCCCATGTGGTCATAGTACATCTGGGAATACTCCTCTGCCGTGGGGATTCCCAGACGCCCTAAATCACACTTCCTCAAGCCTGGAAGACATGAAAAGGCAACAGTGAAGCAGCAGACAGTGAGGATCTCAGAGCTTTCTAGGGATGCCGTGAAGGCTGTGGCTGAGCCATGCAGCCATGGAGCAGCAGAGACACCTGCACCCATCCAACACCCACACTGCTGCCATGCTCTTTCCGTACATAACAATGGGGGTTTGGCACCATCCCATCATCAAAGGTGAAATGCATATGGGGCAGTTTTCTTCATTGGGGTAAGACTGGGAAAGCAGTGACTGATGGATCTTCCTCCTAAACGAGGGAGTGATTTTCCTCTCTGTTTACACCTATGTTATTCTTTTTAACAAGTGTGTAAGTTTGTGGACAAACCCCTTCTGGGCTGGCCTGGTTCACAGCTTTCCCTCCCAAAAGGAGTTCCACAGCTTTACAGCTGAAGGTAGAGGGAAAAGAATCCAAACTAATTTTTAAATGCCGTTTTGGCAGCTATGAAGCAGGGCCCCCCTCCCTGGGGCCGTCCCTGACATGACTGCTAACAAAGATCCAGGTGCATGAACTGGGTGATGGTACCAACCAGGACAGGGAGCACATGGCAGAGTATCTGCCAAATGGGTGGCAGATACGAGACAAACTTGGGGACAGGGTGACCATGGCACAGTGATCACTGCACATGCAGAAAGATGTTTCCACCCTGGAGGGTTCTTCAGGGAGGGAAGAAAGGGCAGAGTGGGGAATATGGTGCGAAACCCACAGCCCTTTCCAGCTGCAATGAGCCCAGCTGTCAGCTGAGCTCTCTGGGCAGGAGCTAATCTGTTTCTGAACTCTGGTTCCTCTCTCCGTGTGTCAAATGTGACTTTGCCCCTCTCTGTACCTCTCAGTGCATTAAAGTGAGGTGGCAGGAAGTAGGCCATACAGTTATTCGCCAAATCAGAGATGGGATCTCCTAGAGTTGAAAGCTTCCAGCCAAGGACAGCAAGGACTTCTGGCCTGTCTGGATGAAAGACCAGGTTGTCCATCCTGTATCAGAGGGAAAAAGAGATCAGGAAAGTCTCAAGATGGGGAAAAAATCCCAGTGCTGAGCAGCAGTAGGTGCTTTCCAGTGCTCTTCATTCTCTTCAAAAATTGCTGAGTCCTTTGGGAGGCTGCACAAGTGAAAGATTAATTTCTGCAAGCATGGGTCAGGGAGGATGGCGATTACTCAATAGTGAACTCCCTTGTTAATGATGAACTGAACTGTGCTTTAAAGAATGAAACCAACTTATTTAGAGCCTCAGATAGTTAACAGATGTTACAGGACAGGCTGGCCAAAAAGCAAAGCAGGCAAGTCACTGTCCAGGGGGATCTTCTGGTCCTTTCAAAGGCACACAATAACTCCAGGCCCTGTGCTGTCATGTGCTGTAGATTATCAGTAGTACAGCCTTCACCTGTTTGAGCCCCAGGAGAGGGCAGCAGCCTACTGAGGAGGAAACAGAGAGGGCAGCCATCCTGCCAGGGTGCAGAGAGCTCACCAGCTTCCAGTCACACTGGAACTGTGTGCGCTAAACCTTGCGGAAAGGAGCCTTGGCCCAGAACTGGCACACACCTATGCTGCAGCCCGGGTCTGACAATGCAGTAGTAGATCTCAGCATCCCTCACCTCTATCCCCAGCCATCAGGCTCCTGCATGACTTCACCTGTAACACTGGCAGGTTTTGCCATACCTATTCCAGGATCTCACCAGCCACCCAAACTCTTTAAGCACTGAATATCATTAGCAACATGCACCAGGACTGATTTCTGAGTATCACAGAAACAGTTGATGAACCCCCAGTGTTAGGCCACTGTTTTCTGTGGTTGGGCAAAGAAACTGAAATACCAATGAGGCAGCAAGACTGGAATTGGACATTGGGAGTTCAGGCTTTCAGTTCCTGCCCCCCGTTTCCCTGCACTCAAATGGGCACTGCTTTTAAACTGCCACAGATCAGTAGGCAGAAAAACACTGGGCAAAATACAAGAGCTCTGGGTGCAAGACAGCACCAGTCAGAGCTCTTGGGATATGTTTCTCTGGGGGATGCTGAACATGACACAGAGCCCAGCTTTTGGACTGCTCTGAAGCTGCTGTGCCAGCCCAACTCTGCACCGCTTTGGAGTCTGCACAATGCTTTACACCCTCTCTCCCTCTCTGCTGCCTGGGATGTGCTCCGGGGAAGCGCTGTGAGCCAAGCAGTACCTGAAATCACCATGCACAACTGTCGTCTTCTGAGATTCAGGAAAATGCAGAGGCAGCCACTCGATGAGTCTCTCCATGGCAGGGATAACATGAGTTTCCATAGCTCGATACTGCTTTGTCCAGGTCTCAACTTGCTGCTGAATGTAATTAGCTGCAAAAAGGGAACGAAGGCTTTCAGGGAAAGGGACAGGCATAAAGAAGCTTCAAAAGAGATGCATAAAAGGTGCATGCAGAAAAAGTCAAACAGCCAAGCAGATCTCAGTCCAGCAGCCTGAGGTAAGCTCCAAGAATTTCATTGTGATTTCCAGGGGTCTCATACATTCTTAACTGGGCACTGGATTTGATATTCTGGTGGAAATAAGCAGATCCTGGACAAAAATGTAGCTTCTCCAAGAAGTTGAGATAGCCCTGCAGAGACACTGGAGGAGCTGAGGAAGTTTGGTCAGAGATGGCAGCAAACAAGTTACTCCTCCCCTCACAGTGCAGCTCTTGTTCATGGCAGGAAGCTCTAGGGTCTACTAACAGTAAACACGGAGCTGGAGGATCTGAAGCAGCTCTCCACACCGTCCCACCACACCTGGGGAGTCAGACACCTTGCTGCTCATCTTCGCTTTCCCAACTGCCCCCCAAGTTTGGCCCAAGTCCTGTACCCGAGCCTGTCCTTTGAAATGCTGATACACAGGAGAAGAAAACAGTGATAAGAAGATACAGAGCCTTCTCTCACCATGCTCCCCAAGGTCCTCCAGCTTGTCTGCTCTGAGCTCTACGCTGTGGATCTTGGAGAGGACTTGACTCATGGCAGCATAAGTAGCCCTCCGCTGGCTAGGCTGCAGTGTGGGGAGGGAGACGTCCCTGTAGACACGGCCAGCACAGTGCTCCATCAGGTAGAAAGGTGTGCCAAGAGTGCTGGGGAAGTAAGGTGGAACCGGCAGGTCTGAGGTTAATCCCGTTACCTACCACCCCTCAGATCTCACCTCCACCTTGAATATGCCCTTCACCTGCCTGGCAAGGTGAGGAGCAGCCTCAACAGCACTGCTCCCTGCCCAGCTGTGGCCTGGGCTCAAGCCCAGCTCAGGCTGTCAGCCAGTGGCACACAGCTGTGACACGACCAGTCCCGCTCCCTCCAGCCCAGGAAGCTGAGCCTGGGGCTGGGCTACGGCACCGACCGCCTCCCTGCCTCCCCTGCAATGGGCTCTGCAGCCACCGAGCTGTCAGACTGCATGCAAACAACACGAACAGCGGACACACATTTAACTGCAGTGCAGAGACTTTATTACTGCAGCCAGCAGAGATCTGAGCGTTGCTGTGCTACTGCAGGCTACACAGGGTGTCCTGGTCGCAGACTTGCTGCTATTGCGGCTGTAGGTCTTGGGGCAAGCCTGAGGTCTGGCAGTTAGAAAAATCACCTCCTTATTGGAAACCTGAGCATCTTGAGTCAGCACGAAGCCATAAAACTCTATTTTATAGCGGCTTTTCAAAGGAAGACAGCATTTTGATTAATTGCTAAAATAAGGACACGCCTCAAACAAGCCAAATAAAATTGTTACTGTCCTTTGAACTTCTAGAGGCTTCTCTAGCCCAAGACTGGGCAAACACTAATTAGACCAGTGTACTTGGTGAGGTCTGGCTCCTTATTCCCTCCTCTCCTTGTCTTTGGGGAAATTTGGCTGAAGTTGTCAAGCACAGAGTGAAAGCTGAGGGACAAGATTACCTTCTGTCCTCGCAGAGAGCAAGTACAGTGGGAACAGGAACACCAGCCTCAGAGAGTGCCTTCAGTACCCTGCCAGGGCGAGTCAGAGAGCCATGTCAGCGCAGAAAGGCATTAGGGAATCGATACTAGATCTGCACTGTTGCTAGGCAGATGCACAATATAAAATAAAAGGGTCCTGTGCTCAGTTTTAAACATGCTAAAATAACACAGCTGGGGGTAGGGGAAAGCAGCACACCAAAATCTTTGTATGGCCCAGAGCCCCGCGACTAATACAGTCTGAAAAACCAAGGGGAGATCACAACTATCCCCCCACAAGTGTCCTGCTACTCTGCGGCTGAGGCAGAGATCTCTGTCACAGCAAACTCGTTTGCAGCACGACCCTTCCAGCATGGGGCCAGCCCTTAGCTAGGCTCCTCGCTGCTCAGATGCGGTGTTGTGCTGCAAACTCCCTCCCACCCAAGGTGCCAGACGCGACAGTGAGATCCTGCGTCTCCCCCGACACATGCTGAGAGCTGTGATGTGCTCCATGGATTGGAAGGATCACAGCACAGGAGCGGGGACAGTGTTTTTTCACAGGCACAGGGTCCTAACTGCATGCTCACTGCCAGCTGCAGGGCAGTGGCACAGCCTTGTATCTCAATCCAGGACTGCTCACATCAGCTGTAGCAAACAGACAGATCACAGACCAGGATATGGAGCTGTGCAAAATGCGGGGGAGGACAATGTGGGAGGCAGGTGGGTGGGCTGTGTGATGTGGAACAGAAAAGCCAAGGCTGGAATAGAGCACTGTCCCTAGGACGGCGTTGCTTGGGATCTCCTACAAGAGTCTTCCCTGGTCAGCTGGCACGAGGAGCATGGCTCCTTCTTACCTGTATTCCCTCCTGACAGCAGAGCCCGAGGGATGCAGGCTGTCAGAGGGCTCCTTCTTCAGCACCAGCAAGCAATCTCCAAACTTGATGCAAAAGGTCTGGGTAGACTGTCCGTAGCCAAACTGCCGTAACACCAGTGGGCCTGAAGAGTTGAGAGCAGAGGGTCAGCAGACAGAAGCATGATGCTAGGATTACTTCTCACCACCTCTCCAGGTTTTACTTCCCCTTCTTGCACCTGGGGCTGAGAACTTGCTTGCAGCATTTGGGAACCTACACTTTGCTCCTGTGTCCCAAATCCCTGTGGGAGGATAGCAATCACTCATAGATAGCTCACAGGCCAGGAATATTCCTGGCATCTCTTTGGCACATCTCTTGTGCTTGGCCCTTCCCAAACAAGGAAGTCCTAAAATGTTATTTCCCATTTCTGGGAAACAGTGACAGATCACTGAAACCTGAATGTCTGCAACAGTTGCTTGGAGATTAGGAGCATTTCATTAATGTTATTTTTCAATCAATTTGTCATGTGATGGAAAGAGCCAACGGCTCCAGAATATGTGAGCTTTCAGGCTGAAGAGCAAAAAGCGCTGCAATACCTGTTGCCTGGTCACTGAGAACACTTTCAAGGTACTTTTGCAGACGATCTTTTGGGATTTCCATGCCTGGTCTCACTGAACGAGTATATGGAACAAACCCTTGCAAAGGAAAACCCAGATAGGTTTCCAGCTCCTTGAGTGCTACTTCTGGATCATCGACCTGAAAGCAGGAGGGAGGGAGAGTGAGAAGTTACTGGGTGAGAGTTAGAAGATAAAATTGCCCGGGCAAGAAAGAGCTCTGCACACTTGTGACACATTTATCTGTGAGTCCAACAGCAACGGTCCACTAAGACACACAGGAATTCACTGGTCAGTCCCTGCCAGCACAGAGTGCCATTACCAACACTCCCACCTCAGTCTCTGTCCCGGAGACATACTGTTACTGTGGCATAGGCAGGGTGAGCTTGGGCTGGGCTACGCACTGGAATTCCCTGTGTGCAGTCCAGGGGAGCAGAGTTCACTCTTCCCACCAGTCCCATGCTTGTCCTTCCCCCAGTGGTCCCCTCTCCGAAGTAAACCCCCTGTGCTCCCTATCTCCAAAGCCTGTGGGTTAACCAGTCCTCAGCTGACAGATCCATGAAGCCCCACAGCTCCTAGAAATGTCTTAAATGTGTCTTATTTTCTCACATCAGGTGGATGTGGTCGTCTCAACCATACGATTAGGGCTGTTTTTCTAATAGGGAACTGAGGTCCATAAAGGAGAAGCGGCTTCTCCGAGGTTACACTGGCTGTAGGGTTTAGAGCCGTGAATGAAACGGGCCAGTGCAGACTTTGCCAGTAACCCTCCCCTTTAACACAGCCACATCCTGTGGGAATAAGGACAAGCTGAAACAAAAGGCTTGGCAAGACGAGTCTGCCACTGTGATTGAAAATCCTGAGCCATTCAAGTCAAACACAGCTTCTGGACTTAGAAACCATGCCCAAAGCCTGCCCTGGTTGCATTGCTTTGTACCTTCACCGTTTTAATGCCAAGCTGGGCTGCTGCATTTAGGTTCTGGCTGCTGCTGTCGAGGAAGATGGATTCCTGGGGCTGAACGCCCAACCACTCCAAGCACAGCTTGTAGATACGAGGATCTGGCTTGTGCATTCCTTCCCGATCAGATTCAACCATCTACGGCAACAACAAATGGATTATGCATGAGCCTACTGTGACCACAAACATCTGTGCAGTGCTGGAAATGGAGGACGGGAGGGTGGGAAAGAGACTGACAGTTTAATTAACATGTGAAATAAGGGACACTGGGAATGGAGGGCTGACAGAGCTGGATAGGATGTGATTCAAGCGACTGCGTGGGTGCCAATTGCTTAGCTGTGGCTCTGTCAGCTCAAATAAGCTAAACAGGATCAGCTGGTCCTTGGATGGAAGATATCCAACGAGATGTCACGATGTGGGAGACTTACTGGGTGTCCCACACTGTGCTGAACCAATTGCTCAGTGCTGCCCAAGAAAGCAGTGGATTACACCACCTTCCAAATGATCTGGAAAAGCAGTGTCCTGACCATTGCACCTATCAACCATGCCAAAGCAATCTTCACAGCAGCAGAGATGCTGACCATCTGCCCAAATTTGCATCAAAAATGTCTTGAGTCAGTCTCTGAATAGTCACATTGCCTCAAAACCATACAAAATTCAAGCAGTATTTCACCCCTGCACTGACAGACACTCAAGGAATAGAAATGAATCTATTAGAGAGATATAAAAGCCAATGCTAATGGAAATCCACATTCAATTAATTTTTTTTCCCACTAATTACTGTGCAGTGCTGTTGCCTGCTGTTACAGAAGAGCCACACCGCATGAGTGATGACACCGAATAGGCCATGGTTATTAAAGTGCTTTGAAATAGTCTGGGATGAAAGGTATCACAGAGCATCACAACAGAGCATCACTCCACTAAGAGAACTTCATAGGCACTGGTGTCACTAGTGCCTATGCACAGAAAGCCACGTCAATAACAACATAATGTTGACAAGATGACTTTAAACAGTCTCAGGTTTTAAATCTATCGATACGACTCTTCTTTGCATATTTTGCTGTCTCAATCAAGGCTATAAAACAAACTTAAGTCATGAATAAACTCCTGAAATTCAAAGATGTGAGTCAGGGCGCACAAAAAAAATCAAATTTTCTGTCATGTTGAGGTGAGTCTTCATAGCTGCCTGTTAAAGTGAAGCCACCTGAACCAGCTTCATGGTTCATCGTTAATCTTGTGCTTCATCTTTGCAAAATCGAAGTGTGCTGGGAAAGGGGTCTCTGCCTGCTCATCAACCCAGAGAGATGAGCACATTGGGATAGTGGGATTTTTCTAATATGGCGGATGTTTAGCCATTCTTTAGGATGAAAGAAGCTTTAAAAGAGTAAGGATTAAATATGAAGCAAGCAAGTGCACTGAGTAATAACATTTATTTCTTGTATAGTGCTCCAGCTTCTAAGTCCTTTATCGACATAACAGTAGTTATGCCAGGTAATATTTTCACAGGCTGTTACATTTATGTCTACTACTAGGTGCTGCTGTTGCCGTTCATTTGGTACCTGCATGGAAAGAATTTCAGTCGCAGCTTTCTATAGAACTAGCTACAGAAATGCATTTTGGAATCCATCCAGGCTTACCACATCAAAGTGCTTTCGGTCCAGGGGCAGAAAGCTCTCTCCATTCAGCAGACAGAAGTTGTTACTTAGAAGAGCTGTCTTAAGACCTTCTGCACGGATACACTGTACTGCTTCTGCCATTATGGGGAGCTGTTTTATCATCTCATTTCTGATTAAGTCGGAGAGAAAAGAGTCCACGGGAACACAGACATTTGCCTGAGAAACCAAAGACCCCCCCCCAAGAATGACAATTAGCCATAAATGGTTTTTAAGCAGGGAGGAAAATAAGAGTGGTTGGGTAGGTAGGTTGCCTGATTGTCTTATCGTGGTGGCCTACTTCCTTTGGCAGCAGAAGGCTGTCAGTGAATCTCCCAGCTAAATTGCTTAGACCAAATAAATTCTCACATTACTAATTCTACAGAAGCAGCAGCAGAGATAAAGGTCTGATTTGGGGGAAAAGAAATGCACTAGGACTGTGCCTGCCATGGAATCAAGGCAGGTTAGAGATAAATACCGAGTTACCATTCAGCAGGCAGGAAAGGAATCTGCATTTTGGACTATGCTGTTTCAAAAAGACTTTATTCAAAAGGGGATTCTTGCACTGTGTTCCTGGAGCTGTGGCGGAGGGGATTCTACTGATCTTAACAACCTCCCCCAGAGACCATGGCCTCCATCCACTGAGCATGCCCACGTACAAGCAGCAAAAGCCTTTCAGCTGGTCTCTGACTCTCTGACTTCTCATCTTAGATGATCCTAGAGGTGTCTTGAGATAAAAGTTATGAAATATGCAGGAAGAGGCTCATGGAAGTGAAGGCAAATTCAGCTGACCATCCTGCCTGGGTACCAGAGCGATGTCGGCTGTGAAAAGTCTGCCCTGACCAGACAGCAATGCTTCCTAGATGGTAAATCCAGACCCTTCCATCGAAGGACTCCTTTTAAAAGCTCCTTTTTCCTCACTGAACCACCAGGTTCCCACATTGCAGGATCCCATTTCCCTGCAGTCAGGAAGCACAAGGAGAGGAGGAGGAAATTGGCTTACAATCTCAAAACACCGCTGTCCCAGTTCCTGCAAAAACTCCACAGTCGTCAGCTCTCCTCTTGTGTACTTCAGCGAGGGACTATTTTCCCCTCCAGAGAGTAGAGCTTGCTGGATGGTGCCGGCTGGAATACAATTCCGAGCCTCCCAGTCTATACAGAGAAAAGTAAGAAAGCCAGGAGGGAGCATGTATGGCATCATCAGAACGGAGAAACTGGCTTGAAATCTCTCTGAAGTCTGATACATCAAACAGCACTTGCAACAACTGACATACTGGACTGGAGGACACAGACAGAAGTTTGGGAATTGCCCCACCTCAGCTGAAGCACCTCACCTCTGTTTTCGGTGTGGTGCCCTTGGGGTGAAAACACTGAGTTCTTAAGGTGTCCTGAAGGACAGTATCAATGTTGGCTGGTACCAGCCGGTGCCATTGCAGGACAGTTTCATTACCAGATGGGTTCTGGCCCTGACCTGGAGCTGCCAATGCAGTTGCTGGTTGCTGTTAATTCTAGTTCTGATGGCACAACAAGGTATCATTGTCGTTGTCGCAAGTTCTTGGATATCTTACCAGAACCAGAGGCGGCTGACAGCGACACCTGAAATTTGTTTTCCCTCTATGCACAGAGACAAGAGGAGCAAATGAGAAATGAGAATACACACCCGCGGCTGTCTTGTAAGGGGACGGGAGGACCATTCTGCTGGCGTCAAAGATCACAGCTTTATAACGGCACCATCCAGATCGCCTCCGCTGGATTAACCCCTGTGGGTGCTGCCGGATCCCGGCACAGAGCAGGTAAGGGGCGCGGGCAATGCTTCTCAGGTACATGCTGTGGAAAATTTGCAACCGGCCCATGCCAACCGAGGAGAGAGGCTAGGATGCAAGGTATAGAATTACTTTATTAAAGTAAATATTTATTCATGCACATGAAGTGTCCCAGCCAAACTGGGGCACCTGAACGTGGTTTTGCACAGGGTCCTTCCACCCTTCAAACCTTCAGGTACAACACAATTTGACTAATCACTAACACCCACACTACTGATTACTAATCATAGCAAAACTCTGCAAAGCGACCGTATTTTTGCAGTGTGCTTGGTGCTTGGCTATTGATCTAGATGTCCCTGGAGTCGGTCTTGCTAGAGTTATTTTTCTATGACGCCAGAAGATGCTGGGAGGTTTTCAATGACGTGTTAGAGCGGCTGTAGGACACTGGTGTGATCCTGATTGTACAGGAGTAGCCTTTATCCTTCCCAGACAGCTCTAAGCCATGAAGCAAAGTCCTTATTTCCAGGGCCGGGCTGTCCTTTTAGTTTATTTTACTTAAGCATGAACACCACCAAAGCCTGGCACGACCCTGAGGGCCAAAATACCAGTGGGGG